ATTATCATCCTGATACATGGCACCACCTTCAGGGTATAATGTTTTAACCATTGGGTGTACATAGTCAACCTTCACACTGCTCTTACTGGTGGAATATGCAATCAGTGAAGATTGCCCACCCGACTGCATAAATATAGCCATGAAACCTCCAACACTATATTGGCCAGTATTTCAGTTTCATTGTCCAACCTGTGTAGGTTGTATGTTTCAGGAAACATAATAGTAACAATAACAGTCCAGATACAAGTGAATGCAAAGACTTTTTACTCAGTTTGGACACTAAAGTTGTTTTAATTGTTTTGTAGCTCTTAGAGAAAGTGTTTCTGTATGTAAAGTGTTTTTCTAATTTTCAGATAACTCCTAAGACCCAGCTGTCATCAGACACCAATGATTGTGGTGCGGCTGTGGGACTAGATGAGGTAAATGCAGTTGTGCTGCAAGAGAATAATAATAATAATAATTATAGTCAAGGTACAAGTGAATGCAAAGACTTTTTACTCAGTTTGGACACTAAAGTTGTTTTAATTGTTTTGTAGCTCTTAGAGAAAGTGTTTCTGTATGTAAAGTGTTTTTCTAATTTTCAGATAACTCCTAAGACCCAGCTGTCATCAGACACCAATGATTGTGGTGCGGCTGTGGGACTAGATGAGGTAAATGCAGTTGTGCTGCAAGAGAATAATAATAATAATAATTATAGTCAAGGTACAAGTGAATGCACATGCTTTTTTACTCGGTTTGGACACAAAAATCTGTCTGGGGCTCTTTGTTTTGTGTTCACAGTACACTTTCTTCTGGTGTGCATGACCACTCTAAATTGATACCAATAACAGTACAATGCAGCAGGATTTGCTGTTGTATGAGCAGACATTTACTTAAGAACTTGCCTTGGCAGAGGTGGGCAGATGTATTTAAGAGTTGAGGAAAATATTAAATATGTGTCCTCTCAAATGAGTCCTGCAGTATTATACCTGTAATTGACAGTATTACTGAGATACAGGTGTCTGTTTAGGCAAGTGCTAAAACTAAGGAACTGTACTAATTATTATTCATAAAGATATCACATGGACAATTTTTTTTTTTCCTTCACAGGTCTGCAAACATGATGTTGTCGCTTCAGCAATATCAAGCATGGACAAATGTTCAAAATGTGTGGGACCTATTGCAGCAATGAAGTGGCTTGGACTGAAATGTAAATGTTAGTATGATGTCTTGTTTATTATGCAACAATACATATCAGTTAATTTTAGTGTCATTCACCTTTATGTTATGAATTCAGCTAAACATTATGTAACTGTTGAAGTAGCTGATTATCAGACCATTGTTTATGTCAGTTGTGTAGAACCATCACCGATAGTAGGGGTGTAACAAATTTTTCACTTAAGTTTGGCCATAGAATCTGACAATAACAGACATGCAACATTTCTCTCATAGTGTGCTCCTGTTTCTGGCACAAGTCCTGCTATTCAAAGCTTCATGAATGGAATAGAAAACAGTCATTACAGGTAAGAAAATAATTTATTCTATCCACCTTATTGTTCAACATAGAAGTAAGCTGTCTTCTGTGTATGTGCCAGACTTCCTGTTCATTACCCACTGTATGGAAATAACAAGAATAACAACTTGCTGTAAACGTTAAAACTGTTTGCAATACAAACCAGTGTGTTCATAATTAAGCTAAAACATTAAAATAATACGGTAAGACACACCAATTTGCAATATCAAGCAGCAAAACGAGCATTTTTGTGCAACTAAATATAGCTGGAAGCAAATGACACCGGAAGACAGGCACATTAAATTTACAAATGGCCACAGCCACTCTTACAGGAAAAATATGGTTGATATGTTTGCTCATTATTTTTTGCTCTTTAAAAATTGCCAATGCTGTAAATTAATCATAAATATTTTGACAATAGGAAGTAAGTTCAGAGGAAGACGAGGTGTCAGATGAGGAATACATACCGCAGTCTGAATCAGAAAATCAGTCAGACAGTTCAGATGAATTGATAACAAAACCAAGACCAAGCTATGATCAAACTAAGCTGCTCTCACATACACAGGAAGCTGCATCCTCTAAGATTAGTGAAGCTCTCAGATCAGATGTACCTACTCTGAATGTATCTAAGGGCAAAGGAAAAGGAGTCTTAAAGGCCAGAGAAGCAGCATGTATGTATGAAGAGTCTGATTTACTTTGCCATGAGGAGCAGTTGACTGATGTTGAGACAGACAGTGAATCAGATAGTTATGGTGAATGCCACAATCCCAGAAAGCAAGGCTCAAAAGTATGCAGGTCAGCAGATGTGCTTATGTCATCAACCCGATCACACAAAGAACATGACAGTAGTGAGAAGCATTTAAATGCCAAAAGGGGAGCAGTGTTGAGAGAAGAATTGAGGGAAAGCAGTGTGGCTGAAGAAGATCAGTGTGTGCCGTCAGCAAAAATCTCATGTTCAGCAAATAGTAAGAACTACTGTTACATATGCGGGAAACCTCAGACCAAGTTGGCACGCCATTTGAAAACTCATAAGGGTGAAGTTGAAGTTGCGCAGGCTTTGTCACTTCCAGTGCACTCGAAAGAACGTAAAGCATTGCTCCAAAAACTCAGAAACAAGGGCAACTATCAGCATAACACAGATGTTTTACAGTATGGAGAGGGGGCTCTTAAAATGAAAAGGGCACCAAAAAGAGAATGCGATGCAAAGCAGTTTGTGCATTGCATTTACTGCAAAGGGATGTTTGTGCGGAGAGATCTATGGCGTCATTTAAAAAGATGTCCCTCAAAACCTGCGACAGACAGTGAAAACCAAGGGAGGACAAGAGTTTTGGGTTTGGCAACTATGGCAGAGTCTTCATTCAGTCAGCACATATCTCAAGGAGTTTGGAAAATCTTGGGTGTGATGAAGCAGGACGAAATTTCCGCTGTTGTCAAAAATGACCTGAGTATTCTTCAGCTTGCACAGTCTTTCTTTAACAAACATGGACATGATCCTAGCAAATTTGAGTACATTCGACAAAAGCTTCGTGAAATTGGACTGTTGTTGGCATTGCGTAGAGAGTTTTCGATATACAGTCTTGAAGAAGCTGTGAAGCCTGCCAATTTTCATACACTGATTCAAGCCGTCCAGAGGGTGTCTGGCTATGATGGTGAGAGTCACTGCTACCAAACCCCAAGTCTCGCTCTGAAACTGGGGCATTCACTGAATAAGATTTGCGAAATCATTCACTGCCGAGCACTGATGTCTGAAGACAAGGAACTGATTGTGTCAACAGAGACCTTCAAAAAACTCTATTCCTCAAAGTGGTCTGAGATGATTTCACACACTGCTTTGGTCACACTGAATGAAGCCAAATTTAATAAGCCATCAACACTTCCCTTTACCAAGGATGTACAGTGCCTTCATCAGTTCCTTGAGAAGACTGCATATACAGCATTTCACAAACTAAAAGAGACACCCTCTCATCAAAACTACGCAGAACTGGCCAAAGCAACTCTTGCCAGAATCATTGTGTTCAACCGTAGACGCGCAGGGGAGGTCTCTAAAATGCCACTGAAGGGCTTCAATGAAAGGGACGGCACTTCTCTCCATGATGATGTTGCTATGGGCCTGAGCAAGTTTGAACAGAAACTCTGCAGCCATTTTAGTCGTGTTGAGATCAGGGGGAAAAGGGGAAGAAAGGTTGCGATTCTTCTCTCGCCTGATATGGTCGATGCCCTGACGCTGCTGGTCAGCAAGAGAAGTGAGTGTGGAGTGCTGGACACTAATGCTTTCTTGTTTGCCAGACCTAACTGCCAGAGTCACTACAGAGGCCAGGACTCCCTCAGAGTGTATGCAAGTGAATGTGGAGCTCAGAATCCACAATTTCTAAGATCAACTCATCTACGCAAGCACGTGGCTACTCTCTCACAAATCCTAAACCTGAAGAACAATGAACTAGATCAGGTTGCCGATTTCTTAGGGCATGACATCCGCGTCCACCGCGACTATTACAGGCTGCCAGAAGCCACTACTCAGCTTGCTAAAATATCTAAGTTACTCCTAGCCATGGAAAAGGGCAGTCTACCTGATCTTCAAGGAAAATCACTTGATGAAATTGAAGTTGAAGGTATGTCCATCCTAGAGTAGGCAGTACAGTGTAGATCTTTTAACACTCATAGGGACATTTAAAGAAACTCTAATATGTTCACTGTAGGACGTAGTGTAATTTGTCAGGTTTCATAAATGGTGTGGTTGTGTTAGATTTTGGTTGTGTTAGTTGTGTTAGTCAGTACAGGTGTACATGTTTCTCATGTTCTAAAACTTCATTTTTACTTCAAGATGAGATCAATATGACTGATTCCGATGACGATGATCATGATGAAAGTGATTCCGATTATTCTGGGGCTGGAGCGGCAGGTGCTTCTAGTAGTGCTGGTATGTCAACTAACTATATATTATATATCAATATATACATATTTATAAACATTTTATATATTTATAAAATACACTTGTGGCCATAATTATTAGAACACTTGTATTTTCACCAGCTAAAGAAATGGTTTTAGGTCAGTTATTTCTGTCTTTTGCTATAGTGTGTCAGTAGGAAATACCAGTTTGCATTTCCAAACATTCATTTTACCATTAATTGAAATAATCCAGTGAGATGTTTGTTTGCACAATCAGTCAGACAACAACCATTGCTCCACACAGATCTCATCTCATCATCATCATCCAGTCTTTCTGGAATGACACGAAGAAACAGAACAAACTGAGATGGGCTAAATCCAGAAGGCTTTAAGAAACCTACCTGCAAAACTAGGCACAAGTGCACAAGCTGCTTTAAATGCAAAGGATGGTCATCATGGATGATTTAATTTAGTTAATAGAAGTTAATTGATATAGAAAATCTATTTATGACAAGCATCCTCATTTTACAGCATTTTTACACAACTGCCTAAAACGTTTAACAGTACTGTGGTTTTGCAGGTAGGTTTCTTGAAACCTTCTGGATTTAGCCCATCTCAGTTTGTTCCATTTCTTCATGTCATTCCAGACAGACTGGATCTCTGTGTGGAGCACTGGCTGTTATCAGACTCCTTGTTAAAACAAAAATCTCACTGGATTATTATAGTTAATGGCAAATTGAATGTTTGGAAATGTAAACTGATATTTCCTACTGACACACTACAGCAAAAGATAAAAATAATTGACTTAAAAGCATTTTTAGTTGGTGAAATTTTGGCAACCACTGTTTTTTTTAGTGCAATGTTTATATCAGAATATAACTGAAATTAGGGATGTGTTAGTATTGTCTTTCTAGCTTGTACCAATAAGTTCATGGTATCAACAATATTCATTTTCATGTTAAAGAGATATTTCATCTCGTGAACTAGCTCTCTGGGCCTTGAACATGGTAGTTGTGTTGGCTGTCAGTGGAGGGACATGAACCTTTCAGCTTTTATTATAAATATCTTCATTTGTTTTCTGAAGTTGAGCAAAAGTCTTACAGGTTTGAAACAACCTAAGTACAACTACTTAATGACTTGAATTGAAAATTAATTTTCATTTTTGAGTGAACTCTCTTTAAAGCCAAAAACTGATAAATGATTGTTTGAATTTAAGTTTTAAAAATAATGTTTAGCAGGCAATATCCTTATATCCAATATGTTATTTGTAATGTTTTTCTGTTTGATTTCTGAGGTTCCTGATCATTATATAACTGATTTCTTGCAGCTGTTCAGGAGATGCCCATTGAGAAAACCTCTGTTCCTCAAGGTACCAGGGTTAAAATTACAAAACTACTATCAATGTACAGTGGAATCAAAATTGGAGACCAATCTATAAATACTTGATTTTTTTTTCTAAGATATATTGTTAATCTTTATCACTTAAAATTTGAAGGAACATTAGCTGTAGCTATATAAAAAAATATATATATATAAAAAATATTTTGTTGAAAACATAGTGATCCAAATTAGGGAACAGTAACCACTGTAGCAGGAAAGATTACAGCTAAAATTTGAGGGTTACAACTGTCAGAAATGAGTAGGAAGCATAGAGGTCCCTGTTTTGAGTGACTTCAGCACATCTGCATAGCAGGACATCACTGGTTTTTCAGATTGCGCTGGTGTGATCTTGGTTCACTCTTCTTCCACTTTCTTCTTTAGTATTCTTTTAACTGTAGGGGGTTTCTCAGCCATATTTTATTTGCCTAGGATTTTCTAGAGATTTTGAGTTGGGTTTAGATCAGGACTCTGGTCTGGCCATTTCACTGAACATGACATAATGTTTCCCATCTAAACTTGCACTCATCACTATGTGACCTTTAGACCAGTTCTATTCTATCCTCCCAACATACTCATCAGCAAAAGGTGAGTCTACCCTTTTCACTCTTAGAATTTGGTGATCAGTGGTCATTGTTGCGCACTGTGTGCTGTGGTGTGTAACAATGAAATGTGTCCTCTGCATTTAACCCATATGTGACATTGTGACATAGCAGGGGGCAGCTAATTCAGCACCCAGGGAGCAGTACTTGGGGGCGGTACCTTGCTCAGGGTACCTCAGTGGTGCCTTGCTGGTCGGGGATTTGAACCTGCAATCTTTCAATTACAAGTGTGCTTCCTTAACCATCAAGCCACCACTGCCCACATCTTTGTGCTAATGAGAGGTTTGGGGGGGGGACTTGAATGAATTACTGTCATTGTAAAGATGCAGTATTTAAGAAATCACAGATTTCAAATGATTAATTAACAGACATTATATATATTATAATGTTATACTATAATTATTATATATAATGCAATTAATTTATAAAAACACTGCCCTTCTACTCCTGTTAGGATAACTTCAAATAGCGGACTAAGCGGTGACCTTGACATTTAGGAAACTATAGGTCATTCTCTAATTTTGATCTCCACTGTAAGTACAAGCTAGTTACAATTTACTAAAGTTTTTTTTTTATTTTTATTATTATTATACAGACAATGGCAGAGAAGATGAAATGGAAAACCCACGGAGAGGACGAAGAGTGTGCTGGTCAAATGCTGAAATTACAGCTGTAATGAAGCATTTTAAGGCACATATAGCCAAAGGAAAATTGGCCACAATGACTGAGTGCCAGCAGTGCAAAACTTCTGAAGATCCTGTTTTGGCAAGTCGTAGTGTGCAAAACATAAGAGATTTTGTGAGAAATCGGGGAATTAGCTTGAAAAGAAACTCAAAATAAGTGATATAACATCCTGTTCTCGTTTGCCCTTCTATTAAGATAAGCACTTTCGTTGTTGTTTTAAGTATTTTTCATAGTGGAGTGCTTAAGAACGTTACTCTAGTTTAGCTTATGGGGAGCAGGCCTGTCCTTTTGTCACTCATGTTGTTCCAAACACACATGGACCTCTTCAGCGGAACAGAAAGGAGATGTTTAGCAGACTGTTTTGGTCAATGTCATCCTCAAACACCCCTGATATTCACTGTATGGAGAAGGTGTAATGTGAATGGTGTTGGTGTCTGAAGCTGTGGCTGTCTGAAATGTTCTGCGGAACATCTCCTTTCTGTTCCACTGGAGAGTTCATATCATCTTTTAAATGTTTTGCAAATGTTTACATTCTTGCCATAATTATTGGCATTTTAATAATGGCAAAACATTTATTTTGTTTTATTTGATTTTTTTAAGACTCTGCAAGTGTTTTATTGTCCATGTTTTGAAATTTGTTGATGTTACTTTTCTCCCTAAAATGGCATGCCATGCTTATAAAACATGCTAAACTGAAAGGGGGAAAAAACAAAAAAATCATTTATTTAAAGGTGCAATTAAATTGCTTCTAAAACACATTGACACTGGTCTCTTTTGTCGTCTTAGTTCTGTTGTGTATTAAGATTAGGCACCCTTTATTCACCATGGTCTTGGTAATACTGCATAGTGTCATGTTTGTGTGTTGTGTATTGGCCTGTGCCCGTAAATCACATCCGTCCCTATAATGTTGGAAGATGTGCAGTTGTGTATTGTGTTTATGCTCCGGCACTCTTTATTCACTTTGGTCTTAGTAATGCGGCATAGGGTCATGTTTGTGTGTTGTGTATTGGACTGTGCCAGTAATTCACGTTGGTCCCTATAATGTTGGAAGATGTGTGGTTGCGTATTGTTTAAGATTAGGCACCCTTTATTCACCATGGTCTTGGTAATGCAGCATAGGGTCATGTTTGTGTGTTGTGTATTGGCCTGTGCCAGTAATTCATGTTGGTCCCTGTAATGTTGGAAGACGTGCAGTCGTGTATTGTGTTTATGATCGGGCACTCGTTATTCACCTTGGTCTCGGTAATGCAGCATAGTATCATGTTCGTGTCTTGTGTATGTACAAGTCCCTGTAAAACACATTGGTCTCTGTAATCCAGGGAATTGACATGATTTGTGTTTTGTAAAATGAGTGTCCTTATAAACTGGTAGGACCCTACAAATCCCAATTATGTAATGGGCGGGAACATTTCAGGAGGGGTGTGGCTGTCCTTGAGTACCACCAAAATATTAGGTTGTCATATTATCTGTTTTATTGTGTGTAGAGGGAATTCTAAGCCAGATTCTTCATCTGCAGATTAAAACAAAATTTTTGATAGTTTTATCATCTCTGTAGGGCATGGGGAAAGGTGTGTCCCCTTAAACCACCATACAACTGGTTTGGCGCTCAAAGTCCTGCTAAACCACAAAAACCAGTATGTGTGTGTACGCATATGTGCACGCGTGTATGCCTGTGTGTTGTGAGTGCATGTATGAGTGTGCAGGTTAACATGGAATGATTCCCAGTGAGTGTGCGAGGCCACAACAACGCCGCCCCGGGGCCCCCAGACGGCCGGGAGAGCCCCGACGGGTCATGGACCCAGCCGCCCCACAGCGGCCAGGTACCCGGGCCCCCCGCTACCGGAAGGCTGCGCGTCCACCCAAGGAAGGCAGGGGGGGAGGCACCGGGCGCCCCCCCCCGGCGAGCACGAGCCAGGAACCCCACGGCCACAGGCGGCAGCGCGCCGCCCCCCCCCGGGGGCCGGCCACGCAGGCACGGATAGAGCCCGGAGCCCGGAGCACCCGCACACCCCGTGGGGGC